AAGACGACATAGTGGGGGAGCGAATCAATGTGATTACACACAAAGCCTTTACTCAGACTGATTCAGATGGTGAGAAGAAGCGCAAATGGCATCGAGTCGCCATCGCAGGAAGATGAGAGAGGACCTTTTTTTCTCATCTGCAGCCATGTTGGGTTAGAGCGACACATATTCTATCGGCCCAGACACAGCTTCAAAATCATGAACAAAGCCTATTACGCACAAAAATAAATGAAATAGCGAGTTTTACTTACCTGGATACGTGTTGTCATGACGTCGTCCGACTTATTGACGTGGAAAACGACATGGACATAGTGAAATAAGCATTCATTTATATATATAGATAGATTAGTTTATTTGTTTTCTAGGTGTTTTGTCCGCACTTGCACACATAATTCTCTTATGAATATTTATTAGCTGATGTTTCATTAATTTAAAACCAACATAATAAGTTATTATTTATGTTTTCAAAAGTACAAATGAAACATCAAATAATGACAAAACTCAAACTTCAGAAATATTTAAAAGAATATATTTCTATAATTATTTTTTTTGATTTATATTTAATTATAAAATTTATACAAATATTCTTACTTAATTCATATTTGATTATAATTTTTACATGTTAATATCATATTATTAATATAAATTATATTTTCAAGATAACAATATAATACATAAGAATTAACTTATTTTCTAAAATATCATATTATTAATATAAATTAGTTTTTATTATATAATTAATAATAAAAAAAATTAGAGAAATTCTGATAAATGATCAAAAGTACCTAGTATCATGGAGAAAAATCAACAAATTCACTTTTCAAATAATTGTTTGGATGATTTATATTTAATTATTAATAATATAATTTTTATATCTTAATTTAAAGTTTTATAAATCAGAAATATATTTTCAGCATAACAACATAATACATAAAAATTATCTTATATTCTGTATAAGATAAAATTTAAGTTTTATATATAAAATACATTTCTAGATAACAACATAATTCACAAGAATTATCTTATTTTCTTAATATGATATATTCATATAAATTTGTTTAATTTATAAATAAATTACATATAAATATCAAAAATATGATAAATAAACAAAATTACATAAACTTAAGGAGAACATGACAACTAAGCGGTTGATTTATACTTAATTATAACATTTATACACATATTTTTACTTAATTTATATTTGATTATATTTTTTACATGTTAATATCATATTATTAATATAAATTATATTTTCAAGATAACAATTTAATACATAAGAAGTAGGGTCCCTAAGAAGTAACTTATTTTCTAAAATATCATATTGTTAATATAAATTAGTTTTAACTATATAATTAATAATAAAAAAAATTAGAGAAATTCTGATAAATGATCAAAATTACCTAGGACCATTGAGACAAATCAACAAATTCACTTTTCAAATAATTGTTTTGATGATTTATATTTAATTATTAATAATATAATTTCTATATCTTAATTTAAAGTTTTATAATACGAAAATATATTTTCAGCATAACAACATAATACATAAAAATTATCTTATATTCTATATAAGATAAAATTTAAGTTTTATATATAAAATATATTTCTAGATAACAACATAATTCACAAGAATTATCTTATTTTCTAAAATATGATATATTCATATAAATTTGTTTTATTTATAAATAAATTATATATAAATATCAAAAATATGATAAATAAACAAAATTACCTAAACTTAAGGAGAACATGACAACTAAGCAAATTTACTTCTTAAATAATAGTATAGATAGGTTTAAATGATACATTAATCGAATATGCTGAAAGATAATGGGGACGAGGCTTTAGTTTAGTACTTTAGCTTTATCCAGATTTATGATCCGGCGCGCATACTATTTTTGTTGTTTTATTAATAGATGAATTGGAAAATCTTTTATTTTGATGATATAAAATGTCATAGAATCAAGATCAAGTTATCATAAAAAAATTTTATTTACAATATTAAATTTTTATTTACAATATCTCTGACAATATTTTTATGTTTCTAAATATATTAACAATGGTTGTACCTCAAATTTGTACTTAGGAAAGATTGTATATTTAACAATTAAATGACTCATTTTTTTTAGTTTTGTGATTAATTCATAAATCATTTAGTTACAAAATTTCACTATCTAATATAACTTTTTAAAATTAATTCAGATTTTAATTTATTATCATCAATATCTGTGTAAATGTATTTTATTCTAAATCACTAATCATAACCAATCATGTGGATTATAAATGTAATTATCATAAATTCTCAAAGCTTTTTATTATTAAATAATATAAATATTATAAAAATATTTATTAAAATTATCAGGACTAATGATGGATTATTTATAAAATCAAGGAAAAGTTTACAAGTAAGCAAAATCACTTAATAATAATAATAATAATAATAATAATAATAATAATAATAATAATAATAATAATAATAATAATAATAATAATAATAATAATAATAATAATAATAATAATAATATAGATAGATATATAAAAAGTAGTAATCAAAACAATTTAGCTTGTTTAAAGGCCCAATACTTGTAATCTGATAATATGGGCCCATGGAAAGGTTCTTCTCCACTTTGAGAACTTGACAGTCAACTAGGGTTTACCGGAAACCTCTGAGACACTACGAGACTCCCTCCCTCTCTCTCCCTCTCTCTCTCTCACTGATCCTTCAAGGAAAATGGCGTTGCGACATCTGAGCCGACCGAGAGACATCGTAAAGAGATCGACGAAGAAGTACCTCGACGAGCCCCTTTACCATCGTCTCTTCAAGGACGGCGGATCTGAGGTCAGTGTTCGTCAGCAGCTCAATCAGTTCCTCAAGGGCACTAAGCACGTCTTCAAATGGGAAGTCGGAGATACAATCAAGAAACTCCGAAGCCGCGGCCTTTATTACCCAGCTCTCAAGGTTAATCGCATTTTCTCCATTCTTAGGGGTTGAGAACAAATTAGGGTTTAGGGTTTAGGGTTTAGATCTCGCATTTTTGATTCTTAGGGATTGAGAACAGTTTAGGGTTTAGTGTTTAAATCTCGCATTTTCGATTCTTAGGGATTGAGAACAGTTTAGGGTTTATTGATTTTTAGGGATTGAGAACAAATTAGGGTTTAGGGTTTGGGATATAGGGTTTAGGTGTTCATTATGAAATAAGTTTGTAACTTTTGGATCTCATTTTCTCGATTTTTAGGGATTGAGAACAAATTAGGGTTTAGGGTTTAGATCTCGCATTTTCGTGTCTTAGGGATTGAGAACAAGTTAGGGTTTAGGGTTTAGATCTCATCTTTTGAAATCTTGTCTTAAATAAGATAAAGGTGTGATCTTGATTTTTTTTCATTGTGAGATTTAATTGAAGAGTTTTTTTTATTTGGGGTTTTGTAGCTCTCTGAAGAAATGGAACATAGAGGGATGAACAAGACGGTGAGTGACCAAGCAATCCATCTCGATCTCGTTGCTAAAGCGCGAGGAATCGCTGCTGGGGAGACTTACTTTGTGGATCTTCCGGAAACATCTAAGACCGAGCTCACCTACGCCTCTCTTTTGAACTGTTACTGTAAGGAGTTGATGACTGAGAAAGCGGAAGGTTTGCTCAACAAGATGAAAGAGCTCAACATTACTGTTAGCTCCATGTCGTACAACAGCCTCATGACTCTTTACACTAAGACAGGACAGGCCGAGAGGGTTCCTGGGATGATTCAGGAGATGAAGGCAGAGAATGTTATGCCGGATTCTTATACGTACAATGTCTGGATGAGGGCGTTGGCGGCTAGTAAGGATGTTTCTGGGGTTGAGAGAGTTATTGAAGAGATGAATAGAGATGGTAGAGTTGCTCCGGATTGGACTACGTATAGTAATATGGCGTCTATATACGTTGATGCGGGACTATCTGAGAAGGCGGAGAAGGCACTTCAGGAGCTGGAGATGAAAAACACAGATAGGGATTTTAAGGCGTATCAGTTTCTCATTACATTGTATGGAAGACTTGGGAAACTGACTGAGGTTTATAGGATTTGGCGTTCTTTGAGGCTGGCTATGCCTAAAACCTCGAATGTAGCGTATCTGAACATGATACAAGTGCTGGTGAACTTGAAAGATTTACCTGGTGCAGAGACACTGTTCAAGGAATGGCAAGCGAACTGTTCTACTTATGACATCCGTGTTGTTAATGTGATGATTGGAGCTTATGCAAGAGAAGGTCTCATCGAAAAGGCAAATGAACTCAAGGAGAAATCTCCAAGAAGAGGAGGAAAGCTTAATGCTAAAACGTGGGAGCTCTTCATGGATTACTATGTAAAGAGCGGTGATACGGCTCAAGCACTTGAATGTATGACTAAGGCAGCTTCTATCGGCAAAGGAGACGGTGGCAAGTGGCTACCGTCAGAGGAAACAGTCAGAGCTTTGATGAGCCAGTTCGAGGAAGAGAAAGATGTTAAAGGAGCTGAGAATCTGGTGGAGATTTTAAAGAAGGGAACAGATGATGTAGGCGCAGAGACGTTTGAATCATTGATAAGAACATATGCAGCAGCTGGAAAGAGTCATCCTGCTATGCGCCAGCGTCTGAAGATGGAGAAAGTGAAGGTTAATAAAGCAACAGAGAAGCTGCTCGATGAACTATGTCAAGAAGAGTGAGTTCTGTTCCATCTCTCTTCTCCTTCATTTTTTGTTCTGCTCTGTTTTTTTAATGGTAATAAAAAAATAGGATCTGTTTGTTTTGATTGAGAATTCGCAAATCAATCTTATGAGTCTGCTTCACTTTCACATATGACTCTCCATGTTTCTGTGAATTGTTTTGAGCTTAGCTTTGATTTACAGTTGAGACAACGAAACTCCATCACAATGTAATTCCCTTTTCGAGATCTTATTTTGGTGATTACATTTGAGAATCAAGAAATGGCTACGAGTTCTATTATAATTACATTACAAGATTGATGATGTTGATCAACTTTTTGAGGGATTAGTTACCACGTTTTTTCTTGCGGATCGATTTAATCAAAGTAGAAAGAAACAAGCCGTTAGTTCCTGTCTTCCTCAGCTCATCCGCAGCGTTCTGAACGGAGTTAACTTGATGCGAGTCTACGAACGCGTTGACGCAAACGCCGTAATCTGACACAGCCATGGTCAAAAAGATTCTCAGCATCTTATTATGTCGTTTCTTGAGGCTGTTCTTGGCCTTCCTAAGGTTAAAGGACGCGTCTCTAAGTTTCTCGTGGCAAATCGTAACTTGTTTGTTTCCATTTGTGTGCTTTGCTGCGTCTGCAATCGCCCGTTTTGTCTTTGTCTCGAGGGCACAAATGATGCTGCGTGTGGCTCGTCTGGGGTTTGAGCCTTTGACCAACGGTCGACACAATTCTGGGTATGCTGTTCTGGTGCAGAGGCCCCTGGGACGCGCTTCCACCGCTTGGTTCGCCGTCAAGAAGACCACTGTAAGGACGATGGTCGTGAGGTAGAGCTTGGGTTTGTTGCAGCCCGCCATATTTTCTTTTAAATTGTTCTTTATAAAAACTGGAAATAAGTTACCATGGGAAAATTTTTCTAATTAAGTTCATCTCGCTAAGAATAGGAATTTATATTTTTGGTTTCAGAATTATTGGTAGTGGGAATTTGCTAATATTTGTTCTTGGTAAACTATAAATTTGATATGTTTGGGAGGTTTAACTTCTTTTTAGGAACCGGTTGTAGAGACTTTGTATGTTTTATATCAAAATAAACTAAGATTTTAGAATGCAACGTTTCTACAAGCACAAATGGCATACAATCTTCCAAAACAAGCAAATTATAAAATAAGCTTAGGAAATATTTCTGTTGTTATGAGTTATTTTCATCATGTTTATTTTAGATTTTAATAAAATATATTTTATCAACTCTTAGTGATTTGAATAGTTGCTACTTGTTTAGTTTTTTATATCATATAAATACTAAAATAATAAACTGTATGTTGGCAAAAACAAATAAAATATACACTTTTACCTTTTTTATCAAATGAGTAGCTTTTCTTTTTAAAATATATTTTTCTAAGCTTTTAGAAATCAATATATTTTTGTAGACAAAAAGAAAGAAATCTGTTTTTCAAGGTGGAAGTCATCAATGACGTCAAAGTTCAAAAGACTATTTTTTAATTTATTTTGTCATACCAAGTTTAAAACTAAACAATAATACAGTCAAAATGACCAAATAGAAAAATCCTAGGAAAGACTACACTACAAATTTGTTTTGTCCTCTTTGCCTTTGAACCTAAAATCTGGCCGCTGACTACAGTGCTATAAATACCACTCGCTTCTGATTCTGCTTCCAAGTGCTCAAAAACCTTTTTTTATTTTTCTGTGTTGAAACCATTTTCGTTGAATCTTTTTGCTTAATCGTCAATAGCTTGATCCATCAATGGCAGAAGAAGCTTTCTTCGGAGTTCGTAGGATGAAGCTGGGGAGCCAAGGCCTTGAGGTTTCTGCTCAGGGACTTGGTTGCATGGGTCTCTCCGCTTTCTACGGCGCTCCGACACCTGAGACCAACTCCGTCGCTCTCTTACGTCATGCCATTAAAGCTGGAATCACATTCTTGGACACCTCCGACTTCTACGGCCCCGAGACAAACGAGCTGCTCCTAGGCAAGGTAACAAACAAGTGGTTTTAGGCTGTGATTTAGAATTTAGGGTTTAAGTTTCATACCAATTATCAAACATTGGATCTGTTTGTATTTTGTTGACAGGCTTTGGAAGATGGTTTAAGGGAGAAAGTTGAATTGGCGACAAAGTTTGGGATCACAGCTTCAGAAGATGGAAAGTTTAATTTCAGGGGAGATCCAGAGTATGTGAGGTCTGCTTGTGAGGCCAGCTTAAGGCGTCTTGGCGTTACCTCCATTGATCTTTATTACCAGCATCGGATTGATACCACTGTACCCATCGAAGTCACGGTAATCCCTTCTTGGTTTCAGTTTCACCCCAAACTTGTGATCCAAGTTAATGATAAATCTCACAGAGCAACCAAAAATCTGATTAGTAGTAAAAATGTCTTATGGGAACAACTTGGGGTTTGAGATATGTATTCTAATGTGATTATTGAGAAGACTATTGTTATGTTACTTTAGTTAATTTTTTTGTTTTGTAATTTTTATTGTTAAACATATTGTTTTGGTGACTATTTTCAAAGACGGGAGAACTGAAAAAACTAGTTGAAGAAGGTACAATAAAATATATTGGTTTGTCTGAAGCATCTGCCGCAACTATCAGAAGAGCACATGCTGTTCACCCGATTACTGCTGTGCAGTTAGAATGGTCCTTATGGTCGAGAGAAGTGGAAGAAGATATCATTCCTACCTGCAGGTATGTGAGAGATCAGAATCAGAATCAGAATCAGCCCATAACATTTTCTCTTCATTTACATGTTTAATATTAAGTCTCTTGTAACATCTTTAGGGAGCTTGGGATCGGAATTGTAGCTTATAGCCCTCTAGGAAGAGGCTTCTTCGCATCAGGTCCCAAACTTGCTGAGAATTTGGAGCATAATGACTTACGAAAGGCAAGTACATGATTGATTCAGTTCTCTCTTCAAGATTTGGAGTCATCTTAGTTATGTTCTGTTTGTTACTCTTTGCTCTGTTTACAGAATCTACCGAGATTCCAACAGGAGAATCTAGACCACAACAAGATTGTCTTCGAGAAAGTCCAAGAGATAGCAAGAAAGAAAAGATGCACTCCTGCACAACTAGCTCTTGCATGGGTTCACCACCAAGGAGATGATGTCTGTCCTATTCCAGGAACCTCCAAGATCGAAAACCTGAACCAGAACATTGGAGCTTTATCAGTGAAACTCACTCTTGAAGAGATGGCTGAGCTTGAGGCAATTGCTAGACCGGATGTAGTGAAAGGGGAACGACATTGGAACGTAATGGCTACTTACAAGAACTCTGAAACTCCACCATTGTCTTCTTGGAAAGCAGCATAACCATACTTGGGTTGGACAAGTTTATGATATGTTTGGTGACTAGTTTTGAGATTGCATGTGTTTGGAGCGCCGCTATTTATATACCTTTGGCCGATTCAATAAATTTATAGACAAGAAAATTTGTAGACCCTTTAAATTATTTGAGGTCCTAATAATTTTTTTAAAAAATATTAGGAATATTGATAATAAAATTTGCGATGAGTTTTGGGCATTGAAAAAGAAACTGAATTCGGCCGAATTGACCGATTCGGTTTCATCATGAAGACAAGTTAACAACCGATGAGAGGCTTTCAAATACTCGAAATATCCGAATGGATCCAAATTTTAGTATCTGGAAAATTGGGATCGAAATCCACCTGAACTAAAATGTCGAAGATATTCGAATCACAATTAAATATTTAAATATATTAATCATTTTAGATTTAATATCTAGAAAATATTTAAAATACATGGAAAATATCTACAAATTATCAAAAGTATTAACAAGTAAATATATAAAATAGCCAAAAATATTTAAACATTCAAAATATATAAATACATTCTTGTTTTTCTCCCAATATCTCAACCGAAGTAAGTTTCATGTTATTTTAGATATTTATTTCTTACCTTATTCAAATTTATATTTTGTATAATATTTTAATTTTAAATTTTGAGGATTTTAAAATATATTTAGATTTGTTTTCCATAATTAAAATGAATATCCAAACTCGAATCGAATCCATAACACTCAGAATATATAAATACCCAAATGAAACTTAAATCTCTAGCCTAGAATATTCAAAATCCAAATTGATCCGACGAACAGGTATCGAACGCTAACCCTATAGATAAATCTATCAAATTGGCTAGTAAACCGTAAATGACTCCATTAGGGTTATATTGGTCAATTTCAAATTCAGACATATTCTTCATTCACCAACAAAACCACAAGTGTCCATCAATAACCCAACTTCAGAGGCGAGACACGATCCAGAGAGAGAGAAAAAAACATGGCGAAAGCTTGCGAAGTGAAGCGGATGAAGCTAGGAAGCCAAGGCCTTGAGGTCTCGGCGCAGGGCCTCGGTTGCATGGGCATTTCCTCTTTCTACGGTCCTGCCAAGCCTGAAACTGACGCCATCGCTCTTCTCCACCACGCCATTGATTCCGGCATTACGTTTTTCGATACCTCCGACGTCTACGGTCCTGAAACCAACGAGTTGCTTCTCGGCAAGGTTCGGATCCGTGATTTGATCATGTATTGTTTATGTGGAAATGATTGTCATGGCTGAGATGTTTGGATCCTTCATTAGGCTCTGAAGTATGATGGAGTGAGGGGGAAAGTGGAGCTTGCGACCAAGTTTGGAGCCACTTATGCGGAAGGCAAGAGAGAGGTAAGAGGAGATCCTGCTTATGTGAGGGTTGCTTGTGAAGCAAGTTTAAAACGGCTTGATGTTGATTGCATTGATCTCTATTATCAGCATCGGGTTGATACTCGTGTCCCTATCGAAATCACTGTAAGCCTTCTCTTACAATATCATCCTCCTTGACCTGGTGTTTCAAAGTTTTCCAAGTAGGTGCATCTTTAACTCTGGATAGAATTTAACAATAGGTTCTAAGAACATGTTTTTGTTTGTGTCGCATTGGTTCAGAATTGGTCTCGAGCATAGACAAGTGAAACATTGGCCTGTCGCCCCCAAAAAAATTTATATAGGACTCCAAATCTGTAGAAAAACTTCATATAAACCCTTAATAAATTTTCTCCAGCCCCCAAAATTTCAGAACCGGTCCTACATTAATTCCTCTGTTTATGATACTGCTGGATTATTGTCTGAGGGAATATCTTCAGTTAGACTCATATGAGTTTGTTTCTCTGTAAATTCCAAGATGGGAGAACTGAAGAAGCTAGTTGAAGAAGGTAAAATAAAATACATTGGTTTGTCTGAAGCATCTGCCTCAACTATCAGAAGAGCACATGCTGTTTACCCTATTACTGCTGTGCAGTTAGAATGGTCCCTGTGGACGAGAGATGTGGAAGAAGAAATCGTCCCAACCTGCAGGTATCTTAGATTACATCGTCCTTTCTTTGTCCATATCCATCAATATTCATGTTCACTTTCTTTCTTCAGGGAACTTGGAATTGGTATTGTTTCTTACAGTCCTCTAGGACGAGGCTTCTTCGCATCAGGACCAAAGCTTGTTGAGAAGCTGGATAATGATGACTTCAGAAAGGTAACTACTACTATCTGCATTGAAAGACTTGTTTAGTGAACCTTTAGTTGATGAATTACACTAACTGTATATTTTCCTCAACTCTGTTTCTTGTTGTAGACTCTACCAAGATTCCAACAGGAAAACTTAGACCACAACAAGATTCTCTACGAGAAGGTTTGCGCAATGTCCGAGAAAAAAAGATGCACTCCTGCACAACTAGCCCTTGCATGGGTTCACCACCAGGGTGATAATGTTTGCCCTATCCCAGGAACCACTAAGATCGAAAACCTCAACCAGAACATTGGAGCTTTATCTGTGAAGCTCACTCCAGAAGAGATGTCTGAGCTCGAGACCATTGGACAGCCAGAGTCTGTAAAAGGAGAAAGATACACTGCAATGGTCCCCACCTTTAAGAACTCAGACACTCCACCATTGTCTTCTTGGAAAGCCACCATTTGAGACCTCCTATGGTTCTCAATTTCCACTACACACCAATACTATGTAGGTAAATAATATATTGTAATTTCCATTACACACATTGTCTATGCTATCAAGAATAAAATAAGCGTATGAATATTTAAGTTATTCACTATGTTATAATATATTACTTTATTTGAATATTAATTTCTTGAAGTGTTACTGTATTTTGAGATGAGTTTGAAGTATACTATCTCAATGGAATCCAATGAAATTTTGTTCTCTTCTTGCCTCTTGGAACTATCAACAAACTTAAACATCAATATCAAATTTCATTTTCTCAGTAACCCACGAAGCAAAAAGAAAAAGAAAAATGGCAATCTCTTTGCTCTGTCTCTTTGTCATCATCATCTTTGCTTCCTTAATCCTTGTCGGAAAGAAGATCAAACGATCTAAATGGAATCTTCCACCAAACCCTCCACAGTTGCCGATCATAGGAAACTTACACCAAATTGGAGAGTTGCCTCACAGGTCACTTCAACGTCTAGCAGAAAGAACAGGACATGTCATGCTTGTTCACTTAGGTTTGGTCCCTGTAACGGTAATATCATCGAAAGAAGCAGCTGAAGAAGTGCTGAGAACTCAAGACCTAGACTGTTGCACAAGGCCTAACCTTGTTGGACCTAGGCTAATCTCTCGGGGTTTTAAAGATATCGGGTTTACGCAATACAGTGAAGAGTGGAAAGAGCGGCGTAAGTTCTTGGTCCGGGAGTTTTTTTCTTTGAAAAAGGTTCAAGCATTCAGATATATAAGAGAGGAAGAGTGTAACTTTCTGGTCAAGAAACTGTCTGAATCCGCAGTGGATCAATCTCCGGTTGATTTGAGCAAAACCCTCTACTGGCTAACCGCGAGTATCTTCTTTAGAGTTGGTTTTGGACAGAGTTTCCACGAGATCAAGGTCATCGATAAAGAAAAGATTGATGAGCTCATATTCGAAGCTGAGACTGCCCTAGCTAGTTTCACTTGCTCTGATTTTTTCCCCATCGCGGGAATTGGATGGCTTGTTGACTTGCTGTCCGGACAACACAAGAGGCTCAAGGATGTTTTCCACAAGCTGGATGCCCTGTTCCAACATGTGATCGATGAACATCTGAGTCCTGAAAGGTCAAAAGATCACGATGACATTATATTTTCAATGTTGGATGTGATCCATAAACAAGGCAAAGATGATCGGTTAAAGCTAACTATAGATCATATCAAAGGGGCTCTCACGGTAAATCTTGGAGTTCTTTAAACACTTTGGCATATAAATTAAATTTAAATTATAACTTACTTATTGTTTTGTGGGTAGAATATATTTCTTGGTGGGATAGACACAGGGGCCGTCACCATGATATGGGCAATGACAGAACTCGCTAGAAACATGAAACTGATGAAGAAAGTTCAATATGAGATCCGTGACCGCTTTGGCAACAGTAAGAAGATAATCACCGAAGAAGATATTGGTAAAGTCCCTTACCTGGACCTCGTGATCAAGGAAACATTCAGATTACATCCACCAGCTCCTCTTCTGCTTCCAAGGGAAACTATGGCCCACATCAGGGTTCAAGGCTATGATATTCCCGCAAAGAGACGGATCTTGGTCAACGCTTGGGCCATAGCAAGAGATCCCAAACTTTGGACAAACCCGGAAGAGTTTAATCCCGAGAGGTTTATTGATAGCCCTGTGGGTTACAAAGGACAACATTTTGAGCTCTTACCGTTTGGCTCTGGTCGAAGGATGTGTCCCGGGATGCCGATGGGGATGGCTACTGTTGAGTTGGGACTCTTGAACTTACTTTACTTCTTTGACTGGAAGTTTCCTGATGGGATGACGCATAAAGACATTGATATAGAAGAAGCTGGTAGTCTTACGGTTGTCAAGAAAACACCTCTCAAGCTGGTTCCAGTTCTTAGTTCACTGGTTGCACCAAACTCCAGTTTCAGAAAATGAAGAAGTTTCAATACACTTTCTCTAGTAAAAGTGGAAATATGTGGCAAGTATAAAACTATCAATAAGATAAAGATTATGTGTAAAAGCCTGAATAATGGCTCCCTGGAGAATGGAGTCTATGTGTTGTAGATAATTTATGTTTCATTACACTCACAAACCTCCTTCTACTTCTTTAAACCTTACGACTCTTTGATACGCCATCCGATTCAACTGTGTGACTGCACTGATCACTAAGAGAACATTAAGCAGATAAGATTTTAGCATTTCAAAACAATTAAATTTAAAAAGGAAAAGGACATGCGAGGTAACAAAAATGATGTTTCGTAGCTGCAAGCAATCATATATGTTTTGAGAAGTCATGAACATTGATTGTAACAGGATGATCATATGTTCTTAACTTTTTCACACGACAATCATATATAGTAGTATAATACATCTTCATGGACACAACACAAGCATGCTACCACTACTTAGAATTCAGAGCCGTGTCCGTTTCCCATGTAAATCTTATCTGCCATCAGCACGGCACCATACCACCACATGTAACCTTTTTAACTCCATGCCTTGTTTTGTCGTTTTTTGAGGCTCCACATTTGTGTTTATGTATCGAACATCCAAATCCAGCAATCTTCTTTTTGTTATATAAAAAAAGAAAATACATTCATCAACATAGTTTTCCACTCAGCTCTTTGAAGCGATCCGTTCCATTTTTTCCATATTATCGGTACGAATTTGAACTGACATTTTCCATTAGATTTAAACCATTTAATTTTCCAATTTTTCTATACGTAAAATTACTTTCATGTTTTAGTTCATTTGTGTACACTTTAAGCAATCATAAACAAATTTAGACAGATAAATTGAGGTTCGAGTTAACAAGTGATTTTCCTAATAAGCTTTTACAAGTGCAACTCGGCCTAAATCTAACCCTAATCCATAATTCTTCTTCCATGCCTTAGTTCCACGATCATGCTATGTCTTTACCCTTTCGAATTTGATCTTGACCTGCATCCAAATGAGACATAAAGGAACATATTTTCTTAGTGGGAGCAGGCGTCCCGCCTCATTTAGCCAACAGTAAAGCAATAAAGTCAGTAAATCAAATAGTAGGTCATTATTATCATTAGAGCATGATTAACTCGGGTTCTTAATTTGGGGTTCTTAACTCTGATTTGAAATATTTTTGTTTTTTTTTTCACTTTTCGGATAAGATCGATCGGGTTCTTATATATCTTATTTAAGAGACGGTTCTTAGTTTTTCTTAGATAAAAGCTAAAAACAGTTCTTAGCCGAAGCATACCATAAGTCTCTAAACGCTTAGACTGATCCAGACACGTCAATGGAAGAAACCGATTACTCGATCCAACAGCAGTATAATGAATACATATAAACAAGAAGATTAGAACAATCTCCTCGTACCAAAACTAAGTGTATTTAAGCGAGACTATTATTCTACACATTAGGCTACGATCAGGCACCCACATGTGCCTTAGAGTCGGTTGATTAGCTTTTCTGACACTTCTTGTGCTATCTCGGATTATCAAACATTTTCAGAGTCGAATCATCCAGAAATGATCGTATCTGACTCGGACTTGATCAATCCAGCCAAATTCTGATTTTTTTTCATTGAACATATGCTTTCTTTCTGGTTTTATTTAGGATTTAGAGTGACAGAAATGAAAAATAAACAGAGTGACGATTCAATGAAGTAGTTGGACGGTTTAAACTCGGAAAACTGTCAAATTTTTGAACTTGTTATACTTCCTTGGGGCTTCTGATAGGTCAGGTTTTAATCCAATTATCTGACTATAAGTGCAGAGTGAATCACGCAGTAGTAATACGGAATCAAATCCACAAAGACCGATGACTACACGTAGAGTAGCAGACAAGTTACTAGCTAAAGCGAATAAAAGAGATTATTTGTTTAGTTTTCAATTTCTTAATTCAAATAAGCAACAGCAAGCATACAAGAAGCAATAAAAAAAATTTGTAAACAATTAAAACAAGCACTGGGCAGTGAGAATTCTCAGGGATCTCCTCTTTGGGTAATAATCACATACAAGCAGACATAGAGACAAGGTACAGCAACGTCTTGAACTCAAATCACAATATTCAAGCTAACGCCCTATGATTAAAATCCTAAATACTAGCTTCCACGGAATCTCAGATTTTAAGCAAGCTTTAAGTCTAGGTTTGATCAGTTCCATGGCACAATAACATCAACTTCTGCTGGTTACAGAAACCTTGTTCATTTACTGATATTTCGAGAATTCAAACAACATTTTTGGTGGGGTTAAATTCCTAGAATCAGAGGCTAGGTGATCAGACAAGTCTCAGCCTTAAAAAAATTAGTAGACAAAGATCCAAAACATAAATCTCTAGTCTAACAGTTTTTAGATCAATACATAGAGAAATCCCCAAATGAAAACCTCTTAACCCAACTAAGACTATTCATCTCATATTCAAACAATAAAAAAAAAAAATCACAGAAAAAACATCATAAAATTGTATTGAAAATGAAAAAGGTTTAAGAAGATTTTCTTCCAAATGAATACAAGAAGAATCATCTTCCAAAACTCTACAAAATGATCTAAATGAGCTACAATTCTCTCAAGTATCACCATATGGACGTTAGGAACAAGAACATATGAAAGAATCGAATAATCTCAGGTTTTTAAGTTTTTAGGTTTTTAAGTTGCAAATCGGGTAATCTGTGTTGCAAATCCACTATAATTTGTCAAGTGGTCCAATTTGCCTCAAAATCCTCTCTAAATGAGTTTTTTCCTCCACAAGCTAATCTGTAATTTATAATTTACATTGAAAAACAACAAAAGGCGCGTAAAAGACTAAAATGGCTTCAAAAAACCAATGTTTCTTTGTTCTAAAATGAATTTTAAAGTGAAACACAACACATCAGCTTCAACAATGTCAGTGTCTATGCTTGCAAGAATAAATATGCATATCAATATAAACTTATTCACTGTGTTATAATATATTACATTATTTGAATACTAATTTCTAAAAGATTCACTGTATTTTGAGATGAGTT